AACTTGGACACTGACCACCTGTGGTAGTCACTAGTCTATCACCCTTAAATCATTTGAATTAAATTGAAATCAAGAAGCAGTCCAGAACATGTCTGCAGTGAACAAAATTTCAATATAGTGTATTTACCATTTAATGGCTCAGACAGAGCGAGGATGCAAGTCCCCTGGTCTCAGTTAGCTGATGGCTGAACCCCATGACGCTGACTGACCTCGGGCTGCAAGGCCCAGATTGAGTTCCCCAACCTTCTGAATGGTTGAACTCCACAACGTTGTATTACAGGTTTCCCATGCCCTATCTTTAAAGATGTTCAAAGTTGGGAACTCAGAAAAATACCCTTGATGACCACCTCTGCCTCTGCAGAGTGGGTCCAAAGACTGGCACAGTCAGGAGGTCTGAGAGTGCGTGCGGTTGGGAGGGGGGTCTTATGAGGGTTCAGGGGTGCTCATGCAGCTACCTTTCCTGCGCTTGAACGATGGCGGCTGAGTCGGGAGCAGGCGTGGCTCTCCTTCCTGTGGTGGATCGGGGCCCAGGCTACCTCCCGGGGCTTGAGCGATGGCCACAGTCACTCCTTTTTGAAGCTTAGTATCCTAAACCAGTGTCATTGCAAGGAAGAAGGGCTATATGTGCTTGGGAGTTGGGAGCTCCAGGTGCTATGCTGACCGCAGGAGTTCTGGGCTCCTGGGTGCCCTCCTTGTGATCTTTGGGAAGATTTCCTTACAACCAAGACTTGTACTCAGTCAGAGGCGGGCTGTCGGCAGGGGACCTGCCACGGTGCTGGAGATTTGCATTGTTCTTTCCTCTGCAGGGCTGAAGGACACACCAACCCAGGAAGACTGGCTGGTGAGTGTGCTTCCTGAAGGATCCAAGGTGGGTGTGGACCCGCTGATCATCCCTACAGGTGAGTGAGCTTGGCCCCTTCTGGAGTGGGTAAGGAAGGGGCTTCTAGGCTCCTCTAATCTCCTTGTGTGCTTGTGGGATGTGCAGTGTTGGGGGCTCGGCGTAACTCCATGTCATGATAGAGGCCACGGTGAGAAGAATGCCAGGATGGGGCTGGGAAGGCCTTTGGTGGTGGAGTCCTTTGACAGTTCCTCATCCTGCTCGCCCAGGGGTGGGCCGCGGGGTGATCGCCTTTCAGAAGGGGCCAGGCCTGTATTTAGTTCATGGTTGGCCATGTATGTTTCTCCTTAGATTACTGGAAGAAGATGGCCAAAGTCCTGAGAAGTGCTGGCCACCACCTCATTCCTGTGAAGGAGAACCTTGTTGACAAAATCTGGACAGATCGTCCAGAGCGCCCGTGCAAGCCTCTCCTCACGCTGGGCCTGGATTACACAGGTCACTGCCCAGTCTTGACCTTGTCTCAGTCTCAGTCTTCTGAATTGGACTGGAGTGGGTGGGTGGCCTTTGCCCACCTTTGGCCCAGCGGGTCATTTGACGAAAGCAGGAGCGCCTTTGGTTTCCACTGTTGCCACTAACTGTGGCCTGGTTCAGTTTTGTAATGCTCTTCTGGGTGCTGTGCAGAGAGGACTGTTCTCTACCCTCATTTACTAACTGCCACCCCACTGTGTCTGATCCTGGAAATGCAGTCCAGAAGTGTCTAGGATTGACTTCCTTTGCTCATGTTAGCACTGGTAGGTTTACTTCAGTCCGTCTCCATCCTGTATCTTCTGCCGTAGAGGCTCTGTGGGCTGTTCCTTTGGCCTGTGTGATAGTGATGGGTGAATGGCGTGTACTGTGAACCTTTTGTGGGAGACTGTGTGGATTTATAAAAACAGTGCCTGGGTGGAGGGAGGTGGGGCTGAGGGGAGGGAGCCTTTCTGTGGCAACGCAGAGGTGGGTGGGGGATGTCTGGAATGCAGGCAGATCGCCCAGAGGGGTCCTGGGAAGAAAGCATTACAACCCAGATTCTGCCAAGTTTTCAGCCGCATTCCAAGCTGATCTTCAAAGCAGCCCTTGGCTGTGGGGCAGCCCACAGCTTGCTTTCCTGTGTGACACCCTTGCCAGAGGGTATCGCACTTTGGGGAGCATGGGTTCAGTGAGTGAGCTAGGTCAGCTAAAGATTTTCTCTCTACATGGTTTGAATTTTTTTGACTGAAGCAGAGGCACTACTGACCTACTGCTATAGGAGAGGAGAAAGCAAATGTTGCTGGTAAAGCTTTTTATTCTGTAAACATTTGTGTGCCTGTTCATTGCAGGACGCTGTGTTAGGTGCCTTCCCTGTTACAGGTGGCTGTCACCTGAGTTACAGATGCCACTGTAGTAGAGTAGTTGGGGTTCAATGGGGTGAGTTCCTTCTGGGCTGCAATTTCATGCTGGGAGCAGCAGCAGAGGCCTTGGCTGTCTGACAGCAAGTGTGATTTGAAAGTGGTACTTACGCGCGTCGGATCACAGAGAACTCCTGAGTCTTAGCCCTGAAAACAAGTCTTGCAGCCTAAATAGTGTAAAGCGATACTCTTCTGACGTTTGAGGCTTGGCTGTGCTCTGCTGGGCGGTGAGTTCACTTCGATCGCTATGGTTCTCCTGTCCTTTCGGTCTTCATACCATCTTGTAATTCGTTGCTGGTTTGTCTAGCTTCTCCTCTGGGTTGTAAGTCCTATGAGGAAGGGACTGGGTCTATTCCAGAGCTATAACTGCAGTGAGCAGTACAGTCCCTTACAGATGCCTGCTCCTGGCAAGGCGAGGTGCTTCATAGACATCTGTGGGGTGAACAGTGAATTTTGCTGGGGAGGCAGTCAGGGCTCATGCCAGTCATACCTCTTGTCTAGGGTTTGAACCCAGGCCTCCTGCCTGTGTGACTGATGTAAGAGCATTTGGGGTGGGGTTTTTCAGTTGGCTTTTGTTGCTTTCTTGCAGGCATCTCCTGGAAGGAGAAGGTGGCAGACATTCGGCTGAAGATGGCTGAGAGGAACATTGTATGGTTTGTGGTCACTGCCCTGGATGAGATTGCATGTGAGTGCTCTGGTTTCACTGGTTGGAAATCCGTATGTTCATGCCATTCAGCTTTCTAAGTGGCCAGGGAATAAGCAAAAGGCTGGGTCGCCAAATGGGTGTAGGAGGTGCCAGTTAGGATGAAGGAGAAAGCATTACTGGGAAGGGGGTTCGGAGCCTGGCGCAGAGCATTGTTTTGAGGGACTCAGGGTGAGTCCGTGGGTGATGGCGACATCCACCTCTGGCCCGTCTCTCAGGACTGTGGCTCCTCTGAGAAAGTGCATTTCCTCCAGAAGTTTTCTGTCAGCCTCTCTACAAGTGTAAAAGAGATTATAGGAGGTATTTTTTTCTTTATATTTTCCCTGTACTTTTCCAAACTTTTCACAGTTGAGAATATTCTGGGAACATTTCTACCCCAGAAAACTCAGGAACTAAAAGCTCCTCTCTAGGTCCTTTGATACTGATAGCAGTTTCTCAGTCTTCGACCTTAAACCACCCCCGTGGAAATTGTTCAGAATCTCTGTTACTGTCTAGAATTTGAAGGAATCTGGTTGAAACTCCTTCTGTCTCTTGTTTTCTGATTGGATTTGATCCAGAGTAACTGAGAAGAGACACTGTTTTACACTTTTGCCTTTCTCACTACTAAAAGAGATTACTACACAGTGTCCTGTCTCTTTAGTCCTGTTTCATCTTTTCAGTCCTCAAAGCTTCATCACATGTATCAGTGATTTATGTCCATAATTAGCTTAATAACTCCAGCATTCTACCTTTGAGTATGAGAACGACACATTCCCACTGTGGAAAATTTGGAAAATGTAAAGGAAGTAGAAAGAATTAAAAATAATTCCTATACTCTTTTTAGCCAGAGACAGTATTTAATATTTCTATGGGTATATCAGTGTGTTGCCTGATTTTAAAATGTATCAGTATATAGACATAATTTTAAGTATTAAATATTCCATCACATGATAATACCATAATTTATTTTATTCTTTTGGCACCAGGAATTGAACTTGGGCCCTTGCGCTTGCAAGGCAGGCAGTGGAACCACTGAGCCAAATCCCCGGCCCTAGTACCATAATTTATTTAACCATTTCTCTATGGATGAACTTAGGTTATTTCTAGTTTTCCCTTGGAATGCTATTATCAAACTCTTGGTTCATGAATTCATGTCTCAGTTTCTGAGAGTTTGTTTCTTCTTGCTTCTAGCTGGCTTTAAGGGTAGTGTGGTACATTTTAAAAGAAGTGCTGGTATGAAAGGTTAAAACGTATTACCTCCCTGCTTTACTTTGAGAAGTGTTCTTGTAAAACAGAAGCAGCACTTTTATCCCTGGGCTTTTTAACCCTCTGAGAGCAGTCCCTTTGGGGCTGGAAGCCCTGGGTCCAGAGCTGTGCCCTCTCCTTGCCTCCAGTTTCTCAGACGTTTAGTGATCTCACCAGACCCTGGATCCTGGCCACAGAGGTCTTCAGCCAGCCAGCCAGCCAGCCAGCATAGCAGACCGTGTGCAGGCACAGGACTCACTTTCACTCAGTGGCCACAGCCTTGTGACTCCTTCCACTGGGGCGAGTGGCAGTTTTTCCACCTTAGATCATTTGCCTCTGAAAGAAGAGTGCTTGTCTCTTTTTTTATGACGCAGAGGTCTGCGTCAGCGTCAGCAAACTCAGTCCTGGCAGGTCACCACTAGGTGGGTCATTTCAGTTCCACTGTTAGGATAGGGGCCTCCATGTTTTCTAAGAATTCTGGGGAGTGCTGTGGCAGTGTGAGAAACAGCTCTGCTGCCATCTGGTGGCAGACACCAGAAGTTGCAGCTCAGCTGTAGAAATGCAGGTTCTTGTTTTTCTGAGAGAAGCCAGGGAGGGAATCCTTGGTAAAGTAGCTGGATTCCTAGCTGAAGCCCTTCCCGCTCCAAAAATTACCCTTAAACCTTGATTTGGGAGCCAGTCAGATGACAGGGTCTTCATTTTGATTTATTTTAGGGCTGTTCAATCTTCGAGGGTCAGATGTGGAGCACAACCCAGTATTTTTCTCATATGCAGTGATAGGACTAGAAACGATCATGTGAGTATTCACCCCACCCCTTGGACTGGAACTCCTTTCCCAAAGCCCTTTGGACCTCCAGGCTCCCCTCTCTGGTTCCCACTCAGCAGTCCCTGCCTGCCGTTTCCTCAGTGGACTTCCTTTTTCCTGTTCTTCCCGTCTTTCCCTTCTGTCTGCCGTCAAAGTAGGCGTTTATTTATATCTTGTCTCATCAAATGACTTGAAGTCTATGGAAGTATTTATAGTACCTTGAGATTTAAAAATAAATAAGCAAGGACATTCAGACAAAGCTAGTCATGTTAGTACACGAAATTCTGCTGCAAGGTCTTGTTCAGGCCACATATCTGATTCCATGTTTTCTAGAAGCCATATATATATATATATATACATACACTTGCTCAGTTATGCAATTCTGGGTCTGTAGTGCAAATAACCTTCATTCTGAAGGCTAGACAAGGTGTGGGGAAATCCCCTGAGCTGTGCTTTGTTGGATTCTCAATCTGTCCAAGGTATTGTTTGCAACTTTCCTGTCTCTTGTTTTTCTGTTGGGTGGCTTTATTGAGTCTGACAGTATATTGATTGTGTGTCATGCTGGGGCGCCAGCATTAGGTGCTCGGGTGAGTGACACGGACAGAGGGATGGCTTAGAGTTGGGGAGCTGTGCATCTCCTCTCTCCAGTGGATTTGGGCACTTAAGGGCACGAGCCCACCTGGGACCAGCACAGGTGCTACAGGAAGGGCCTAGTCTAGATTTGGGGCATAGAGGAGACTCTTGGGGAAAGTAATTCTGAAGTAGAGATGAAGGGTAAATATGAATTAGCCAGGTCCACGCTGGGGCAAGGAGGAATGGCAAAGGGGGAAGCATTAGAGAGGCTCTGGGCTGGAGAGAGCCGTGTGTGGGAGACACGGAGGGGTTCACTGTAGTCAAGGCGAGGAGGTAAGCAGGGTCACAGCTCACCCAGCCAGGTCTAGGCGCTTGGGCTCCTGTCCCAAGGATGGTGAAGAGCTGCTGAGTAAATTGCTCAGAGGGGACCCATGATCAGCCTTGTAAATGATACAAAATGTTAGGACTGAAGAATAGCATGGGTGGGACAAGACTTGGAGGCTAGGAGGTGCTGATGGGCAGGGCTGTAGACAGAGCGACAGAGTTGGTGGAGGTTTGGCTGTAGGTGCCAGGATCTTGATTGGGGAGGGGAAGAAGGACATTAGGGAGAAGAGGGCCCAGGTTTCTAGCTGGGGGAGGGGTTGGGGGAAGGATGACCGCACGCACGAGCACAGGGAACACAGGAGGGCAGGATTTGGGGAGGCAGTGGAGGAGGGAGGAAAAGCTGCTTGGCTTCGGTGCAAGAGACGGAGCCTGTGTGTGAGCATGCGTGTCTGTTCTTACCCACTGTCTCATGTGCCACTTTCTTCCTGCCCCCCACCTCTGGTCCCCACAGGCTCTTCATTGATGGAGACCGTATAGATGCTCCCAGTGTGAAAGAACACCTGCTTCTTGACTTGGGCTTGGAGGCTGAATACAGAATCCAGGTGCTTCCTTACAAGTCCATCCTGTGTGAGCTCAAGACCTTGTGTGCCTGTCTCTCCCCACGGGAGAAGGTGTGGGTCAGCGACAAGGCCAGCTTTGCTGTGAGCGAGGCCATCCCCAAGGTTGGTAGTCTGCTCTGGCCTAAGCCCTGCCAGCCACTTCCCTGTTCTGCCTTTGTATAGCTCTGTTTTAGGAGACCGAGGGACTGTGGGATCTGGGTTTCTGGTGGCCAGGTGGCCTTGGCAAGTTTGGCAGTGCCCTCTTCCACTGAGCAGTGGGCCATCCACGGAAGAGCCTAGGCCTGGCTCTCCAAACCTGGCCTGTCACTGCATCTTTGGCATTGTCACACTGTGTGTGACCTCTGTACTTCCTTAAACCAAGTAGGGATCACTTTTGCTGTCCCTGTTTTATGAGGGTGTGTGTGTGTGTGTGTGTGTGTGTGTGTGTGTGTGAGAGAGAGAGAGAGAGAGAGAGAGAGAGAGAGAGACAGGAGAAGGAAAGCAGTTTGAAAAGCTCTGCAGGTACCAGCTGCACTGAGTCCCTCCCTGTCACACAAGGAGGGGTTCTAACTTTTCTCCCCAGCCCTGTCATATCAGACCATTAGCAGCAGCTGAGGGGTGATCACTGAATGGAATTGGGGAGAGTAGGAAGCCTCCCCTTGTCAGGTCAGCTGCCTCGCCGGACAGGGGCCACTTTGGTCAGACTCTCAGGGGCCTGTGAACTCTGACCACGGGTGCTTGGAAAGCAATTGCAAAGACCTGTGGGGCCTGGATGAGGGTACCTTGTTTGAGGTGCTTACCGTTTTCAGTGAACACAAGCCCTTTTCATCACGCTACGGGTCATCAACTGAAAGGGGAGATTCTGTAAGCCCCAGAAGATAGCTCGTGGGTGCCACGTGGGAGCTCTTTAAATTATTTGTTTTAAATTCATTTTGCCGGATCAAAGAGTTGGCTGCCATGGTCTGGCGGGGTGGAGCGGGCCTTGTTTCCCATTCTCTTGTCCTTTGCCCCCAGGATCATCGCTGCTGTATGCCTTACACCCCCATCTGCATTGCCAAAGCTGTGAAGAATTCAGCCGAGTCAGAAGGCATGAGGCGGGCTCACGTGAGTGCAGCAGCCGGTGCGGAAGGCTGGATGGGGATGGCCGGAGGTTCAGTTCCCTCTCCTGCTGCACGACCTGTGCCTAGATAAGGTTGCTCTCTCTGAGCCTTAATCTTCCTGGCTTTCCAGAGTCAGTGAGAGGATGAAATAGTATATTTGATGGGGAGCCGAGGTAGCAAACCCATGTAATCCCAGTTTGAGAAGCTGAGGCAGGAGGATCCAAAGCTTGAGGCCAGCCTGGACAACAGAGTGAAACCTTGTCACAGAATACAAAACAAAACCAAAACCAAAGCAACTTGATGGGTTAGAGCTTCACAAAGTATATAGCACATAGGGCAGAAAAAGACATTGATGATGTACAGCAGAGGCCCTCAGCCCCTGGGACATGGACTGGTGCTGGTCCTTGGCCTGCTAGGAACCAGGTCACACATGAGTGGCAGGCAAGCTTCGTCTGCATCTGCAGCCACTTTCTATCACTCACACTGCTGCCTGAGCTCTGCCTGCTGTCAGATCGCGTAGCTGTATTCTCACAGGAGTGCGTACCCTACTGTGCACTGTGCATGCGTGCAAGCGATCTAGGTCGTACACCCTTTGATCACCCTGGAAAACATCCCTCCCTCCCAAACTCTGCCCATGGAGAGGCTTTCTTCCACAAAACCAGTCCCTGGTGCCAAAAAGCCTGGGGGCTACTGATGTAGAGGAAGAGAACGTGGTAATGATGAAAACCAGAAGGGCCAGGTTGTGTTTCCGGGCACAGGATGGGTCTAGAGAGATCGGGACCCAGAGCCAGCCTCTGGCAGTTAGCAGGTCTTTCCTAGCCCCCGTAGGGCTGGTGGTCAGCTTTCCTTGGCCGTGCTCCTGCCCTCCTGACTGTGCCCCAGCTGCTCCACAGCAGAGGAGCCCTCTCTCTGCCAGTGGGAGTCACTGCACCCTGGCTTCCAGGAAGTGTCCTCAAGCACAGTGCTGGCTGCCAGTGGCTGGGGTCCCCCTGTAGGTGCAGCCCTCTTGGGATTGCTGAAGGGCTGGGCTCTGAAGCTGCCCACGTAGCTTTCAGTAGTAGCTTAACACGTGTTTCTATTTTTGGAGCAGATTAAAGATGCTGTTGCCCTCTGTGAACTCTTCAACTGGTTGGAGAAAGAGGTTGGTTCGTGAGTCTTCACTGAGCATGTGGTTAGAGTTTATTCTGAAATATCGACATAGGATTGATTGCAGCTGTGGCCTCCTCCAGGCTCTGTTGACTGCAGTCCAATCCTAGGTCTAACTTTCATACTTTTCATGGCAGTTCTTTCTGTGTATGCTCACATATTTAATTCTTTAATGTAGAAAAAATCATAGTAGCATAGAGAAAGAAAGAAATTCCTTGACAGTGCATACTTTTTGGGTTAGGGAGCCAAAACACAGTGGAATTTCATTATAAAGAAAAATGATCCTTATTGTAGGCAGGCTGATTGTATTTGAAGAAAAGATTCTGTGAGGACATTTTGAACTTTAAGCCTTAAACTTTTTATGCTAAATTGACTCGTGGCCATTTATTTCCTGCCGGTAGCTGGCAAGAGAGTGGTTTCTCTGTGTGGTTATTAAATAGTGTCATATTCTCTTTAAATAGTATATAAATTCTTTCACTGGACAAAGGGACTTTCTTGCCTCGGCAGCACAAATAACTAAAATTAGAGAAAGGACTTACCTTTCTTATTCCCACCAGGGTTAAACCCCCTCCCCCATGTTTCCTTTTGACTTGTTCACCCTTGTAAATTATTTTTATACGTCTCTCAGTGTGTAGAATATGATTTTTATTTATTTTGTTCACGTAGGATCATAATGTAAGCATTTTCCATATATTTTAAGACCTTAAGAAAGGATTCAAATGGAGGTTGCATCTAATGGCCAGGCTGATTTACCTACCCATTCCTTCTGTTTTTGATTTTTTTTTCTGTTAATCAATCCTGCAATAATATCTTTGCATTTATCCTTTTTATTGCTTTAGGATAATTTTCTTAAGATGATTTCCTAGGAAGTCATAGTTTTGAATTTTTAAACTTAGATGCATAGTTTGGGAGGTTTGGTGTACAATACTGAGACAAAATAATCGAGTGAAAATTTAAAAAATAGAAACTATTTTAGGCAGCTCTGATGAGAGCCTTTGGCAGTTCCCTCCCTGTTAAAGAGGAGACGTAAGCTGCCTCCTGTGGACTGCACATCTGGGATATGGGAATTGAGGGAAAAGCAAGCTTTTAATGTATTCCTTCTCTCATATGTGAGGCACACATGCATTTATCTCACATGACTTATAAGCACTTTTTTTCTAGGTTCCCAAAGGTGGTGTGACAGAGATTTCAGCTGCTGACAAAGCAGAAGAATATCGCAGGTAAGGAAGAGGCTGGTGTGGAGACCTGTGGACTTCATGCGGATTTCTTAGGCGAATGAGAAGCGTCTGGAAGGCCCCGATTCTCCGCACACTCAAGACCTTTAACCCTTTCTGCTCTATGTGTGTCTGTTCCAGGCAGCAGGCTGACTTTGTGGATTTGAGCTTCCCAACTATTTCCAGTACGGGACCCAACGGCGCCATCATTCACTACGCGTAAGGCATGCGGAGGAACACGTGCCTGGCTTGGCTGCTGCTTCTGCACAGGAGCCTGAGCAGGGGAGAGACATTATTTTACCAGAGGCCCCTATGTCCACTGTGTGTGTGTTGAGATTGTAAAATTATACCTCCTAGGGCCAGGGGTGTAGCTCAGTGGCACCGTGCGAGCACAAGGTCCTAAGTGTGATCCCCAGTAAGAGGGTGGGAGGGTGTTAGACCTCTTAGGTCTGTTTTCTCTGAATTCCCCAAGCTTCTGCCTTTTGGGAGTTTCCACCTAGGCTCAGTGTGGCATTGATTGGCATTTTCCATAACATAGTCAAATGCTTGTCTGTGTTTCTTTTCTGAGGCTACAGAAACTATCAGCGTTTGCATCTTGATGACAGGTCTTTGAGTGTTTTCATTTCCTGGCAATAGCAGCCACCTTGATGTACTAGTCCTCTGTGCATCTTTTGAGTTCTGCCGCCTCCATTTCCAAAACACTTGTCACTGGCTGGTGGGGCATCTCATTTTCTGTAGGTAGCGCTTCCTTTAGCTGTGAGACCAGAGGGGCACCGAGGCAGTTAGGACGGCAGGCAGATCTGTGGGGAAAGGTAACAAGGTGTGGCTTAGGCTTTAGCCTCAGCTTTGCCAGGCTTACCTGTTTCACTTTGCACTAGGAATTTGGAGCCCTGTGCTCCCCATCTGTGGTGTGCAGTTACAGAGAGAACACTTGGTCTGTCTCTTTGGGCTGTACTTGGGCACCGTTTTTTTCCCATTTTTAAATAATTGCTTTTAGAGCTTTTAGTCGCAGGGCAGATTGTGAAGCTGTGTGTGGGAGACAGTCAGCAGATATGACAATACAGTTCTCATACTAATGCTGCTGTTCCAACATTAAAACATCAAAGGGACTTCAGTTTAACTTGTAATGAATTTCTTGGTTGCACACTATCCTGGAGTTTTTCTGTTGATTAAATCATTACAATTTTTCTAAGCAAGGACCAGAAATTTGCTTCTTCATTGGAGTTTATTGCAGGCTGTTGGAAGTAGGGCACTGGAGGCTAGGCCTGTGGATGGTGGTTTTCTTTGTAGCTGTAGCTCTTGTGCCCCTGGCTTCCTTACGTGTTGCTGGAGAGGGGTCATACTTGTGGCAGGGATTTGAGTGCTGTCTTCCACGCCATTGAACATTCACTGCACAGTGGTGATGTCTAGAAAACTGCATGGGGACAGTAGATCACTTTTTAAAAATTCTCATGCTGTTTGAAAGAGTGCTCCGTCATAAGAGTGCCCTAGTGCTGTCCATTCGGCCCCTGCATGTCTGGTGGTATCAGGAGTGAGTCATGAAGCGCCTGAGGGCTCAGACTGAAGGGGGCCCAGGGGCTGAGGCAGTTCACGGGGTCTCCAGAGACAAATGTGAGGCTGTGGTGACTCCAGGCTGCTCCTGCCCAATTCCGGGAGTCAGGCTAAGTCCTATTGCTTCAGTGGGTTCTCATTTTCATTTGACAGTAACTTTGACAGTTACTTCTTAAACGCCCATTTATGTTCAGAGGCAGAGGTAAATAGATAAAAAGGGATGCTCTTCTTGTTTTTCTTGAACTCTTTATTTAGTTGGGGAGATGGGTTGACAGAGTCTCTGAATAGTGGAAGTGTAAAACTGAGTGGGATAATTAATTTATTGGTAATTTTAATTTTTTCTTTTGGTACGGTTTCGGACTTAAAGTTTTAAAAAGAGCCCAAGACTCTGTGTGCTCTTCTCTCAGATTCAGTAAGTGTTTATGTGTGTGGAGTAATTAATTTTTAATTAACTTTCTTAGGCCAGTCCCTGAGACGAATAGGACCCTGTCCCTGGATGAAGTGTACCTCATTGACTCGGGTGCTCAGTACAAGTAAGTGGACCCTGATGCTTAAAACTGAACTTGGATTCCACGCCAATGAGGGGTGGACTAGCCAGGCTCCAGCTGCGAATCGCACTGTGCGCTGGCCACTAGCAGACTTGCTTCTGTCTTGTCCTTGTTTCATCCCTAACTGAAATAGCCCCCTTGTAACTCTGTTCCTGCAAAAGGTGGATTGATGGAATTGTTTAGTCCTTGGTTGGAAGTCGTTAAAGTACTAAATAAATATCTGCAAAATAAAGCAAGTGCCTGGGACCTTTGGAAAGTGTCCTGCCCCAGCCCATAAAACTGCCTGCCAGCTCCCAGTACTTGCAGCTGCCCTAGGGCCTTGTGAAGGAAGGATTCAATGTGAATGAGTGACGAGAAGTGAGCACTGCCCCGAAAATCTGAACTTCTTTCACAGTCATCCCCCCTCACAGTTTCTCAGAGGTGAACTAAGACGGGGCAGCATCTTGGGCAGGAGTGAGTAGGAACTGTCTGCACCGAGAGTGTCCTGTGGCAGTTGGCCCCAGGCTTTACAGCTCAGCCAGTCACCCAGAACAAGCTCAGCCTCGGGGCACTGCGCTGGCCTCAGCCTGGAGCTGAGGGCCCGGGATCACTTGGTACTGGTGCTCGGGTGTAGACTTCTGCTCCTTTCTGCGTTGTCACCTCCTCTGTATCAGGAATGTGGGTGAGGGTGGGTTAGGGATGTGTTTGGGTGTCTTTAATGTCTGTCCAGTAACCATCGTGCTTTCCCGATGATGAGAAGCAGATGTTGGCCCTCCTTGCCTAGCCCCAGGCTTCTGTGTGCTTTGTCTCCCTCAGTCGTGACACAGTGATGGAGTCTCCCCCGGCAGAGGCCTCACAGGCAGGGCTGAATCATTCTCACTGTAGCAAGCCTTTTTTTGTTTTGTTTTGTTTTTGTTTTTTGCGGTACTGGGGATTGAACTCAGGACCTTGTGCTTTCGAGGCAGGGGCAGCACCACTGAGGTAAATCTCTGGCCCTATCAAACCATATGTTCTCGAGGCAGGGGCAGCACCACTGAGGTAAATCTCTGGCCCTATCAAACCATGTTTGCATTCACGTTTTGTCTCGTTTTTGTAACATCTTTATTGAGATATCATTCATGTAACAATGATTCACTCAAAATATAAATTTAATATTTTTGTACCTGCTCAAAGTTCTGAAACAACCACAACTAATTTTGGAACATTTTTATCACCCTGAAAGGAAACCTCATGCTCAACAGCACTCAGTCCTTTTTTTCCTTCACCCAGGAGAGCTGCTACTCTGCTTTCTGTCTTTGTGAATATACCTTTTCCAGATCCTTCATATAAGTGGAATCCTATAATGTAGAGTGTTTTGCGTCTGGCTTCTTTCACTTAGCATACTGTTTTCAGAGTTTATCTGTGTTATAGCATCTGCCAGTGCTTCTTTGCTTTACGTGGCTCAGTAATATTCCATGGTATATTTATACCTCATTTTTATCCATCCATGAGTTTTCTCCATGAATGTGGTGAACATTGATGTGAAAGTTTTGCCTTCAAGTCTCTTTATATCCCCATTTAACTTAATTTTTTATCAAAATTATTGTTGATTGTTATTTTTTAATTTAAATTTTTGTAAGTACACGTTCCCAGTGCAGCTTTCCAGTCTTGGGGGTATACCTGGGTGTGGAGTTATATTTAACTTTTTAAGGTGTGCAGACTTTTCCGCAGTGGCTGCTTCATTTGCATGTCAGCCAGGTGTGAGTGAGGGTTCGGATTTCTCCACATGCTTGCTTGCCTCATATTTGAGAAAAAACTTACTTTGAACCCTTAATTGTTCTTTTCTATTTTTGAAAGGGATGGAACCACGGATGTGACTCGAACCATGCATTTTGGAACCCCCACGGCCTATGAGAAGGTAAGGTAGAGGTAGAACTCAAGAGACCCTCTCTGCCTTCTTAAGAAGAGCTTTTCTGAAAAGGGACTATGCAAATGAGTGACAGTTATATGTGGGATGCTAAAGCTAGACATTTTTGTGGAAGCAGGCTTACCTGCTTTATGATTTCTGTTTATTGTAGGGTAAGACATTCGGATGAAATTCAAAAGCATTTTGTTAAGGTCAAGGCAGCTCAGATTCCAGTTTAAAATGCTTTGGCCTTCTCTTGGGTCAGGTGGAATCTGACTGGGCATGGAGAAAGTAGTGAAAGGGTGTTTTTACAAGCAGTGTATAGATTTGATTCTGAGAGGCCCTCCTTCTTTCTGCAGTTCAATGTTCCTGTTCCCAGGCCCACTTCTCAGGGAGCTTTCTGGATTACAGACACTGTTGTTTCTCATATCACTGGTGAGGGAAGGGGACACAGAGCTGTGAGGTGGAGAGATGTGTGCCGGGGTCTGAACACCTGATTTGTGTTCCGCTCTGCTGTTTACCCACTCTGCAATCGTAAACAGCAATGTTTTACCATCCAAAAACATGGAGAAAACTGTGCCCACCTTCTCGGCTGGTCCTGGGGTTTCTGTGGGCCACTGAGTTCCCGGAGCATAGTGCGTGCCCAGGGAATGTTAGTTGAGCCTCTGAGGGACAGTGTCTTTTGGGGGAGCTCATTCAGGATGGTCTTCCCAGGACGAGGGCCTGCTGCAGTGCAGGGTGCAGAGGGCCGACTTGGTGCCTTGCCTGTCTGTTTGCAGACACTGGTACCTTAGAAGACCTTGGGCCTCAGGTCCAGAATCCCTTTGATGAGCCTTTTTGGTACCGGGATCAACCTCGGGTCCTTGTGCTAGTGAGGCAGGCGGTGGAACCACTGCGCTAAATCCCCGGCCTGACTTTTTGACATGGAAAGAGCCCCAGGCAAGACCAAGGATGGGGGTTTCAGTCTGGCCTCTGCTACTTACTGGCAAGTCCCTGACCTCCCAGGAAGCACTTTTCTTGTCTGGACAGTGGGGTGACCCGTGAGGCTCACAGGGCAGTGGGGAGCCTGGGTGTGGAGGCCAGACTGCTTGGCTGCGAGGTCAGATCCTGGCACCCAGGAAATGTGTGACCTGGCCTTGCCACTTGGCCGCTGTGAGGACAGCAGTGGTGCCCCTATCTATCAGGAGCAGTGGGACTGATGTACTGTTCTCAGTACAGCACCTGGCACTGTGCTGTTAGGCTCATCTGTACTTTGTAAAGCTCACACGGCACAGGGTAGGTCTGAATGTTTATTACATAGTGAAGTTCTGTAGGGTCATCTCTCTGACGGTACTCTCTTACTTCAAGATTTTCTGGAAAATGGGTCCGTGGCCAAGCCAGACTTTTTATCTGTGAGATTATTTTTTCTTTTCACTGTTTTCTTTATACGAATGTTTCTTTATATGAATGTTAAACTTTAACAGACAGGGTTTTCTGAATTACCAGAAAACTACAGAATTAGAGTATCTTCCCTTCTGCAATGTGCCCCTGGGTTTTCTTTGGCAGGAATGCTTCACATATGTCCTCAAGGGCCACATAGCCGTGAGCGCAGCCATTTTCCCGACAGGTACCAAAGGTAGGTGGTCCCTTCTGGCATGCTGTTTTTCTCACCTAAGTGTTAGTGGAAAAGCATGTCCTTTCCTTTCTGGGTCAGTCCCTAGCCCACTTCAGCCCAGGAGAGTAGGGGCTGCCTGAGTGAATCTCCTGGACCCAGTGACTACACCCAGATGACCCCACTCCGTTGAGCCAGTCTTAGGATTGTGCCACTTCCGACTGCTTATGAATTGGGTGACACACGCAGGTGCCCCGTAGGAGTGAAGCGTGAAGGCCTCAGGGTTAGCCTCCTGCCTGCCCTTCAGCAGTGACTCCTTTGATGGTCCTTGTGTGATGCTTAGATCTGTCCTCTCTTGAGGTCTAGTGCGTGGGGCCATGGACTGTGAGTTGGCAAGGCCTGGGCCTCCATAAGTATGGTTATATGGCTGTGTGCTCATCTGCCTGAGCCTGTTTCCTCCTGGCTGCCTGTAGTCTGATTAGTCTCAAGTGTGCCATACTGAAATGTTAGGGTCACAGAGGTAGGAGAGGAATGTGTGTTACTTGTGCAGCTTTACCCAGCAGCAGGTGTCCATGCCCTTACTGCCATCCAGGACAAATGGCTCTCCCCAGCTTCAGACTGAATTCTGTATGGCTTCCTCTGATTATTAGAAAGTTCTACCTGGTGGGTCTGAACTCTTTAGAAACTTTTACCCATTGCTTTCAATTTCACCTACTGGAACCTGATATAATAAACCTGTCTCTGAAGTGCTGCACAGAATTCTTCATTGGTCCTTTGTATGTCTTTCAGGCCACCTTCTGGACTCCTTTGCCCGTTCAGCTTTGTGGGATTCTGGCCTGGATTACCTGCACGGAACAGGACATGGTGTTGGGTCTTTTCTGAATGTCCATGAGGGTCCTTGTGGCATTAGTTATAAAACCTTCTCTGATGAGCCCTTGGAGGCAGGCATGATTGTCACTGATGGTAGGTGTCCTGCACGAAGAGGGCATATGACACTTTGTTGTTTCTTATATTTTGTTACTTTAAAGGAAATTGGCAATGATTTCCCCCCTCTGGTCATCTTGAATTAATAAGCTTTTTTGGTGTGTTTTTATTGAGATCATAACTGGACGTGTTGTATTCAGCTTTCCTTTTCTTTGGGTACCAGGGATCGAACTTGAGTCCTTGCACCTGCAAGGCAGGTGGCAGAACCACTGAGCTAAATCCCCAGCCTTGTATTCAGCTTTCTTAATGTATTACATTTTCCCTCGTCATTGCCAAATTATTGTAAATAAACTTAATGCCTATGTACGTCACTGTGTCCTGTGGAGATCCAGCCTGATTTATTTAGCAAATCCCCTGTTACTGTACCACCTATCCTGAAGGTAGTTCTCAGAGCTTCAGAGCCGGTCTTCCTGCACCTCAAGTGCCTAAAAGAGTGGTTGTGTGGGAAAAGTTGGTGACTCTGGGCTCTTCCACTGGATAGGATGGATCCTTCACCAGTTTCCTCTTCTTTGGGGTGGGCGCTCATCCCAGGAGTCTGGCCGCTGCTTATTTTGGGGTTTGTTTGTTTCAGAGCCAGGGTATTATGAAGACGGGACATTTGGTATCCGCATTGAGAATGTTGTCTTGGTGGTCCCCGTGAAGACCAAGGTGAGTGTTTACTTGTTTAAAAAAAAAAATCTGTTCTTTATTGTGGGAAGATGGAGGTCAAGATTGTGCCATTCTGGGGCCAAAATGAAGCTTCCTTTGCCCTATATCAGGGACTTTACTGAAATCACTCTCCTTCCCTGCAAAGCTGGAAAGAAAATTCTTGGTGACCTGGGACCCAGAACTGTGTGACTCATCGAATCCCAAGGTGACCCCTGCTTGATGTGATTTGAACCTCTGAGTTTATTGGAGACAGCTTGTAGTCATGAAGTCCCCTCTGCTTGGTCAAGGGACTAGTTGCTGGGCCCACCCAGGTTCTGAAGAAGGGCAGAAGCGATAATTGGAAGCAATAATTTTACTACATTCCCCGGCTGATTTCTGTCAGGTAGCATTTGGGAACCCTGGGTCATGTCATGGTTCAGGCCTCACAGGTAGTACAGGAAAGGTGCTTTACTCTGTTCTCCATCAGTGTTACTAGAGGCTGCCGAGTTTTAGGTACAAAACTTTACCTAAAATGTCTGTTTGTTTCTTTCCCTTTGGTGATGTAATCACCAGAAAGGAAATTAAATTCAAGGAAGTAGTTTCCTGAGTCTGCAAGGAGGTTAACCTCTGGGATTTGCTTCCTGCTCGTGGAAGTCACTGCCCTTCAAAGTGGCCTCACTTCCAGAGACTCCAGGGAACAAGACCTGGCTTGCTCTGCTGGCCTGGTGGACAACTATGCCACCACTTGATGGCCTGTGTGGGTTAGGCAGCCCGCACAGCTGACTTAAAAGTATGATTTTGGGGGGCTTCTCCCCCAGAGGTCTTGAGAACTGAGACCACGGATGCCCTGAGCTCAGATGCCCCCATACCCTGCTCCTGCTTCCTCCATTGCAGCAGACATTAGTCTGGGCTGGCTGCTGGGAGCCTCTTAGCACCCATGGTTTGGCTGGTCTTGACCGCGCAGGTGTTAAAGCGGAGGCTTCATGTACCTATTAGAAATGGTCACCAGCTGACCACTTTTTGGCTCCTTTATATGCCTGGCTCTGAGAGGCACCAGCTGTGGTAGAGAGACACACACGGTGGTTCATTGTGGTAAGAGGACTAACAGCTGCTGTTTTCTTCCTTCTCCCACAGTATAATTTCAGTAACCGAGGAAGCCTGACCTTTGAACCTCTAACTTTGGTTCCAATTCAAACCAAAATGATAGATGTGGATTCTCTTACAGACAAAGAGGTAATGGGGAAATCTTGGTGGCGTAAATGTTACTAGAAGTGTGAAGAGCTGCCTTCTTTACTGTAGAGGTCTCCTGAGGACTCAGGAGATTTATCTGTATTTCTGGGCCTTCAGACAGAGGTGTAGTGTGCCGTTGTTTTTCTGCGGGAAATAGCTGCATTGTTCCTCCATAGCTGTGCTAAGGCATGTTTAGCAGACACGAGCCCATTTGTCTTCCCTACAAAGAGCCAGATGGATTGTGGGGCCTCTTGGCCATTGCACTTATAAGATTGTTTTCTTATGTTGCTTGAAACATTAAGGAAACTGGAAGCAAAATCTCTTATCTGCCCAGTTTTCACACAGACCAGGAGAGAGGTTGTCCTGCTGTGGCCACACTGGGGCCATGAAATCCTTTACAGTGCCTGGGAACAATAGTGTTTCTTGCCATGGTCAGAGGATTGCAGGTCTTAAGTCTTAGAGTAAGCCCCCAGGATCAGGAGATGAGGTAAAGTGGCAGGCAGGTGACCTAGAGTAAGGCTTGAGCCATCGGGCAGGTGATCGGGATTGAGAAAAACAGGTCAGAAACAGGGCAGGAGCAGTTAGCATTGGACAGATGAAACAGTTCTCAAACCAGGAAGCTAGAAGCCAGGAGACAAATTCCAGAGAAAGACAAGGGCCAGAGGTTGATTGATGGGGCTGAGAGACAGGACAAGCATGGCAATATGCTCTAGGAATAGGAAGTTCCTGTTACCCAAGGCAGCTGCTGGCATCACCCCAGTATCTTTTCTTTTGGAACTAAAGGGAAGGGACTGCAAGGGTTCAGGAGCTTTCCTACTAATGCTGTGGAATGGGATTCTCTCTGCTAGACGCCTCTTGTTTTCTCCAGTTCATAGATGGGTGACAGAGGCAGGTCATCTACTTCCTGCTTAGCTTTTCTCTGATGGGGCGCTTCTGCATGGCTATCAGTGCCCTTGGTTCAGCCCAGCATTCGTACTCACAGGACGCTGAAGGGGCCTGCTGATGCTGGTTTGCCCAGCTTGTAGATAGATACAGAGCAAGAAACGGCCTGTTAGTGGCCTGGTGTCAGGGGTGGGAAGAGTTCTGTGAGGAGTCTCTTCTTTAGCCCCTGAAAGTGATACCTTGGGTAAAAGGGAACAGAAATGCTTACGTGAACATGGGAACCACACTACTTAGAAGTTCTGTGCCTCATGGGAATTAGTGTCTCTTGTAATGACTCTTGGGCATGGCTTCCAGGGTCTTAGCAAGGGATTCTTTGTTCAGTCACTTTGTACTCTTGGAAGACCAAGGATACAACTTCCTACCAAGTAGTTCTAGGTCACAGTCCTTCCTGTGCACACAAAGTATATAATCAAGAAGGATTTGTCCCATATGCTACGTTACTTTATGAAAGGAAAGAGTACATGTGAATGGTCAAGCAGCTTGTAAATGGGCAAGAGAAAGTTTTGTTAACCTGAGACTCACAGCCCATCCTATAACTGAAAACAGACCAGTGGGATCTGTTTTATGCAGTAGTTCATTATTGTGCCTTGTGTAGCCAAGTCTCTGAGATATTTTGGCCAATATCTCTTCATAGACAGATAATATCTTCTTGTCCTGGTAATCATAAGCAAGTTCCATAAATAATAGCTAGCAGTGAGATTTAACATGCTAAACAGAGTAGTGTATCATTTATTATCTCTTAGCAAAAGCCCTCTTCGCACCATTCTGTTGACAAGGTTCTGTCCGCAGAGCTAATAAAATCCCTGGCCATTGCTAACTACTCTCTCCCAGTCTCTTCTTTAGCATCACTGTAGGGAGTTTTGGGGTTGGATCTGTACGCCATCATTTTTCACCAGATGGCAGCAGAGGACCATGGTCAGATGGAATTTGGGCCACTGCAGTCAGTCAGGGACTTGGATTGCTGTTTAGTATGCACGGAGGCTGTCTCCATATCTCTTGCTCTTCCCCCAACCGGAAGGGCCTTAGGAATGTGTCTGTAGCCCCAGGGTTCAACCAGGCTGCTGCTGCCACCACCTTCACTGTTGAGCTGCTTTGGATGGCAAGGTGCTTTGTAGCCTGACACACAGCATTCACTTTGGACCCCTGCCCCCAACTCCCAGCAGAGCTGGTAAGGCTCTTATGGGGGAATTGGGGCCTTGGCTATGTCAGAGCCAGTTGGGAACCTACCTGCTTGTCTGCCCTCAGTCCCTTATGGCTTTGGGCCTGTCTTGACTCCTCAGCTGGACTTTGGTACCCGGTCCAGACTTCCCTAAAGCATTGCACTCAGGAAAGCCCGAAGTCCTGGCTTGTCACCAGGAAATTTTGGTTCCTGTGTGGTCATTGCTAGTCCACAGGCAGTAGACTTTTCTGGGAGGATTTTTGTCACAAGCAGTGTAGCCTGGTCTATTTTCATGGAAGTAGATACAGAGAAATCATCCATCCATCCCATCTTCCCTGTAACAAGCAGGGAGAAAGGATTTTCTTCTCAGTGCGCGCCTCTTGCTGTTGGGTTGTGCGGCTCTGGTAATGGTGTGATGGTGAATATGGTGTCCTTTCCTCTCCCTGCAGCTTGACTGGCTCAACAATTACCACATGACTTGCAGGGATGTGATCGGGAAGGAGCTGCAGAAACAGGGCCGCCAGGAAGCTCTCGAGTGGCTCATCAGAGAGACGCAGCCCATCTCCAAGCAGCATTAATACCTCCCTAGTTTTGTTTTTATACAATGCTCAGGGGAAAAGAAGAAATATGGCAGACTCCTGCCATCTTTCCCTTTCCTCCTCTTTTCCCTAACTCCCTTTTTACTTTTAGACTCTTAAGAAGAACTGAAAATCTTCTTATTCTCTTTGATATTTTCTTGTAAACACTCAGTCTTTTATGATTTTTTAATTGTTGAGAATGAGCCAGGAATAAAATTACTACATCAGAAAGGGGGTCCCCACATAGCTGAAGACTCCATGAGGGGCCCAAGCTCTTTGGCCAGTGGCAGTGAACCGACAAGTGCTCCGTGCGGTCTTGTTCCAGGTGCTAGCACATCGTTCACAGTCGCGTGATGTCTGCAAGGCTGTATTTATGATCAGTGAATAAAAACGTCAGAACTCTGCGCTGTCTCAGCTGTGTCTTCCCTCGAGACACTGGGTTGCCAGTCAGGTGAGCTCGTCCCCGGGGCGGCCAGCCCATGTGGCGGGGCCCCTTTAAGGAGAGAACCTGACTTCCCTGCACATTTCCTGGCTTCATTGTAAGCTCTCTTTTTTTCTCTGGAAAATCTAGTGTTTGGGTATTTTTATTTCAGGTTAAAAAAATTATTCACTTTTTTTATTAGTACATCTTTGTAGTACATAATAACATTTCTCGTGGAGTTGGGACATGTGCATAACACATCTTCCTTCTTTCTTTACACCCACCCTGCTACATCTCTTGGTTCCCTTCCCTTTTTCAAAAGCTCTATTTCCCCATTTTCTATTACCTGTCTTTTATTTTGCTCTTTATGTTTTGGGTTTCTCATAAGAGAAATCATTTGATATTTAAGCTTGTACATCTTATTTCATTTAACATTATGGGCTCATGGTGCATCCATTTTCCTACATATGACTTAAGTTCATCTTCATGGCAGAGTAGTACTCCATTGTGCATAAATACTACACTTTCTTTATTCATTTGTGCATTTATGGACAAATTATTACAGGCCACTTCCAAGATTTAGCTATTATGAATTGTGCTGCTGTAAATATGTGTATGCATGTATCACGGTAATATGATACTTTTAAATTCTTTTGGGAAGATACCTAGAAGAGGAATAGCTGGGTTGAATGGAATTTTTATTTTTCATTTTTGAGGAAGGTCCATACTGATTTCCATAATGGCTGTAGTAGTTTACATTCCCACCAACAGTGCAGAAGGGTTCCTTTTCTCCTGCAGCTTTACCAGCATTTGTTATTTGATTTCTTTTTCTTTCTTTCTTTCTTTTTTTTTTTTTTTTTTTTTTTTTTTGTGGTACCAGGGATTGAATTTGAGACCTTGCCCTTTCGAGGCAGGCGCTGTGCCACTGAGCTAAATCCCCGGCCCATTATTTGATTTCTTGATGACAGCCAATTCTTTCTAGAGTAAGATGGATTCTCAGTGTTATTTTAATTTGTGCTAGTGTAGTGGCCAGAATTGTTAAATAGTTTTTTCATGTATTAAGTGTGTACTTCTGAGAAGTGTTCATTTCACTTGGCTGTTTTTTGATTGAGTTTTTTATTTGGGGAGGTTCCTAATTTTTTTGAGTTCTTTATATGTTCTAGACATTAGTCCTCTCATTCTTTAGGTTGTCTCTTCTGTTGATTTTTTCCTTTCATGTGGAGAAGCTTAAATTTGGTATGATTCCATTTGTTGATTTTTGTTATTATTTATAGTGCAATTTGGCTTCTATTCAGAAAGTCCTTGTCTATATGTAGATGTTCAAGAGTTTTCCCTATTTTGTCTTCCAGCAGATTGTTTCTTTTTTAACATTTAGATTTTTGATCCATTTTGATTTTATTTTAGTACATAGTGAAAGATAAGGATCTGCAGTCACTTTTCTGCATGTGGTTAGTTTTCCCAGCACCATTTGTTAAAGAGACTGTCTTTTGGCTCCTTTGTCAGTATCAGATGGTTGAGTGTGCTTGGGTTGTTTCTGCATCCTCCGTTCTGTTCCCTTGATCCACATGTCTACTTTGTTCCTGTATCATGATGTGTTTGTCACTGTAGCTTTCTATTATAACTTGAAGTTTGGGATTGGATGGCACCTACTTTCCTTTTGTTGCCTAGGAATGCTGTTATTCTGGATCTCTTCTGGTGCCATATGCATTTTAGGATTGTTTTTTCCAGTTTTGTGAAGAATGCTATTGGTATTTTTATTTGAATTGCATTAAATTTGTGTGTCAGTTTTGGAAATATGGCCATTTTGATAATACCGGTTTTGTCTGTCCAGGAATGGGGGATTTTATTTCATTTTCTGATGTCCTTTTCATTCTCCTTTTTCAGAGTATTGTAGTTTTCACTGTAGAGATCTTTTACTTTGTTGGCTAGGTTATTTTTCTTGATACTAAGTAATTTTTCTTGATAACTGTTGTAAATGGTATTATTTTCCTAATTTCTTTTAGTTTATTTTTATTGTGCAGGAATACTATTGATGATTTGTGTGTGTTGGTTTTGTGTCCTGTTACATTCCTGAAGTTGATTGCTAATTCTAGGGAGTGTTTTGGTGGAAGTTTTTTGGTTCTTCTATGTAGAGAGAGGACCATGCTGTCTGAGAATATTGATAATTTGATTTTTTACTTACCTTCGGTATTCTTTTTGTTTCTTTCTCTTACCTGATTCCTCTGGCTACTATTTCAAGTAGTATAGTGAACAGGAGTGCTGATTGTGAATACCTTTGTCTTCTTCCTGACTTTAGAGGGAAAGCTTTTAGCTTTTCCCATTGAGTATGTTGTTTGGCAGTAAGTTTGTCATAAAAAGCTTTTATCAGATTGAGATAAGTTACTTGTATATCTGTATTCTTTCTTTCTCTCTTTATTTTTTTGATAGTGGAGATCACATTCAGGATCTTGTGGTTGCGAGGCAGGCAGTGGCACCACTGAGCTAAATCCTGAGCCCTATATCTATTTTCTTCATTTGTTATGAATAGATGTTGGATTTTGTCAAAGGCTTTTTATACATCAATTGAGATAATCGTGATTTTTTGTCCTTTGTTTATTTGGTGTATTTATTGATTTGTATATTTTGAACTATCCTTGGATCCCTGGTTGAAGCCTACTTGGCTATGATGTATGAATTTTTTGATAATTTGTTACATTCTATTTGCTGGTATCTTGTTGGGAATTTTTCTGTATTCATTAAAGAGAGTGTCCTGTAGTTCTCTTTTTTTTGGTTAGGTCCTTTTCTGGTTTTGGAATTGGGTTAATGCTCTCGTTTAGGAATGAGTTTGAGAATACATCTTCCCTTTCAGTTCATTACAGAATTTGAAGAGTATGGTGTTAGATTTTTCCTGAAGTTCTTGCAGAATTCTGTGGTGAATCTATTGGGTATTGGGGTTTTCTTGGTTGGTATGTTTTTAAAATTACTGCTTCAATTTCATTTCTTGTTACTGGATTATTTGGCGTTTTTCTATCTTTTTGGTTCAGGTTTGGTGATTCCTGTATCTAGTAATTATCCATTTCATTGGAGTACAGGTTTTCAAAGTAGTTCCTAATTGTCCTCTGGATTTCAGTAATGTCTTTGGTGATTTTATTTTTTTCATTTCTAATTACTTAGATTTGTGTCTTTCGGTTTTGGGTAAGGTTGGTTAAGGATTTTCTGTTTTTTTGAAGTACCGGCTCTTTGATTCTTTGTATTCTTTTTTAGTCTCAATTTCATTAATTTCTGCTTTGATCTTTATATAGTAAAACCATGTGAGTAACTTGTTCTGTGAGTATTCTACAAGATGAGCAAACATTTTTAATAAATCTTAACTCAATAAATGAGCAGTGTTATGCAACACAAGTAGAGTAGTATCTGATGCCGAACATCACGTGATCACAAGTGAACCAGTGGTTCTCTTTCTTGCTGTAGGATTGTGGGTAATCATCTCTTAGCATCAAGAGGATGGAGAGGAATTCTCGTCTGCGGAGGAGGATGAGAAAAAGGTGGAGAAATCCCTCACTTCAAGTGAGGTTAGAGAAATGTGTAAAATGTGGGAAATTGCAAAATTATGTAGAAAAACACCATCTGGATAAGTTAGTAGCAGTATGAGCAATAAATCTGTTTAATGGAGAGCTGGGGATTTAGCTCAGTGGTTCCACCACCTGCTTTGCATGCGCAAAGACTGGAATTTGGTGGTACCCCCCCACCAAATTCTGTTTAATGGCATTCCCATGAAATCCGCAAAAGGAGGCAGAAGTGTCATTGGATGAGTTCCTTGTTAAAACTGCACAAAAAGAAAAAGATTCCATTGAACCAGTAGATAGCAGTGATTCTGTTTAATGTTAATGAAAGTCACCCTACTTAAGAACCCTCCTCTCTCTCACCCTCATACCAGCCACGAAGGTTTTTAAAGGTAAGTGTAGGTTAATTTGTTTTTCTTTATATTTTGTATTGTGTTTACTACTTTGAATTATAGTACAGTTTTTTTTTTTGGTACTGGGAATTGAATTAGGGTCCTTGTGCTTGTGAAGCAGGTGGCGGAACCACTGAGCTAAATCCTCAACATACTACAGTATTATAATCATTTTTATATGAATATTTTTGAGTTGTGGAACGAATTATCTGAGCTTCCATTATTGTGAGGAAATTTGCTTTGATGTATAAGTGCTTTGGATAGCAAGCATATTTCTGGAATGAGTTATTCTTGCAAACCAAGGTTTTATTGTGTTTCTCTTTGTACTAGCTTTGGATTTGAATTGTTGTTTTTCTAAGACCTTGAGGTACATCTTCAGGTAGTGGTACCTTGATTCACAAACTTAATTCTTTCCACAATTCTGGTCACAAACTGAGCTGGACAAGAGCCCAATCAAATTTCCCCATGAGGTCAACTTTGGACCTAACCATTGAATTTGATTCGGTTCTTGTCCAACTTGGTTTGTGACCAGAATTATGGAAAGAATCATTTGTGAATCAAAGTACCACTGTATTTATTTGAGTTATTTTTCAGATTTGGGTTTTTACACCTGTGAATTTCCCTTTTAGGACTGTTTTTATAGATCTCATAGGTTCTGGTATATTGTGTTGACATTATTATTTGATGGTAGGAACTAATTTCTTGATGTTTTTTCTGAGACCCATCGATTACTCGAGTGGTATTAATTTCCATGCATTTGCATATTTTCTGTGGTTTTGTTTGCTATTGATTTCTAGTTTCATTGTGCTGTGATCTGATAATATGAATGGGACAGTTTTAATTCTTTTGCATTTTCTTAAGCATGCTTGACGGCAGTGATAGTGAACCTTTTAGAGCTTTCAGTTACACAGAGTGCTGTGGCCCGTGTGCCATTGTTTGCCACCACTGCTCTCTGTGGTCTCTTGGAGGAAGTTCCATGTGCTGGTAAGAAGAATGTGCATCCTATTGCTGGGTGGAATACTCTGTACATACCTATTATGACCATTTTTTAAAATAACTTGCTTCAACTCTGTTTTTTTCTGATCTTTTTGTGATAGTTGGGTATTGAGGTCTCCCACTATAATTGTGTTGATGTTTATCGGATCTTCATATATAGTAGTATTTGTTTTATGAAGTTGAGTTTGGTGGTGTTTGTGTATGTGTTTATAATTGTTATCTCTTTCTGTTAAAAGTGTTCCCTTAGCCAATGTAGTGGATCAGTTTTGGCTTGAAGTCCACTTTGTCTGAAAAAAGGATAGCTGCTTGTTGTTGTCAGGTTCCTGTTGCATGAAATATTTTCCATCCTTTGATTATTAGTCTGTGAACTTTCTTTTTGGATTAAATGTGTTTCTTATATATAGCATATTGTTGATCCCTTTTGCCAATGTGTGTCTTTTGAATGAGGAATTGAGACTACTGGGAGAGTTGTTACTGAAAGCTATTGACTTTTTCCTATCGTCACATTATTTTCCAGGTGCTGATGCCCCCTCCCACTTCTTCACTTTTTACCCCTTTTGGTGTATTCTTTCTATTAGACTTTTTGGTGTTGTTTCCATTGGGTCTAGGATATCCTTGAGAAATTTTCTGAGTCTGTGTTTGGGTGGGCATGAATTTCTTAACGTGTTCTCTGTCATGGAAAGACCTAATTTCTCCATCAATTTTTTTTTTTTTTGGTACTGGGGGATGAACTCTGTACCTTGTGCTTGCGAGGCAGGCAGTGGAACCACTGAGCTAAATCCCTGACCCTCTCCCATCAATTTTGAAAGACAGTTTTTCAGGATATATCAGTCTGAGTTGGAAGTTGTTTTCTTGTAGGGCTTTGAACGCTTCACTTGAATCTTTCCTGGCCTTAAAGGTCTATGCTGATATGTTTCCTGTAATTCTAATGGATTTACCTTTATAAGTGATTTGTTGGTTTTCTTTAACAGCTTTTAACATTCTGTCCTTGTGTGGGCTTCTGGGATTTTGACTACGATGTGTGGTGGAGAAGTATTTTCTGATTATGGCTCCACCATCTCACACTTTCCATGTTCCTCTGTGCACCCCAAGTCATGGTTTCCTTTGCCTAGCTGGGTTTATGAGCGTCCCGGAAAGTGGGAGTTGGTAAAGTGACCACAGTGTTAGGGCAAACATTGCCTGTCCATACCAGCTGGAAAGGTGAGGCAGTGACCTAGCTCTTCAGGCCCCATCCCACCTCTTAGTCACACATTTAGCTACTGAACTCAAGATGAGTATGGTGCCCTGTGATACAGTCACCTTTCAAATACGTGAGACCTTTGGGGGACATTTCAGACCTAAATTGTTAATATTTATTCACCATTCAGTGGTACTGGGGATTGGACCCAGGGCCTTTGCACTGAACTACATCTTCAATTCTTTTTCATTTGTATTTTGAGAGGTCTTGCTATATTGTTCAGCCTTGAACTTGGCAGTCCTCCTTTCTCAGCCTCCCATGCCATGCCAGCTAAGTATCATTGATAAATTAAGAAAAGGACAAATTATTTCAAGATGACAGTCTTTCTAACCCACCTATAGGTATTAATGCGAGTCACTCATATCGCCACCACTCATTCTCTGATTTGTAGACAGTATTCTGCGGCAAGTGATGATTCCTGTCTGTAGCAGACACCTTTATCCAGTATTAGCAGGCCATTGTGTCACAAACATCCTGCCCCTCCATAATTCAGCTGTACTACCTTGGAAGTAGCAGAGCTTGGCTGAGTTCACTCCTAGTCAAGGTCAGCTGACTCCATCTAAATTCCTCTCTCTGAATTAGCTGTTCTCCTCAGCAAAGATATGCTCTGCCCGCACTCTGCAGTTCTGCCTGCTGGATACTTGTTATCAGCAGGTGCTCAAGGCCTGCCCAGTTCTCCCCTTCCCATGCTGGTACTGAATAAACATTGGATGTCCTTGGTGTCTTTGTCTTTGCTGCACAGGGTAGCTTAGATCAGCCCAAGACCCAGTTTCTCTCGTCCCTCTCTCTCTCTCTGTGTTTAAGTCCCACTTTCCTACCTATGTTGTACTGGCTTTCAGGAGGCCAGGACCCCTGCAGGGGTCTCTGGCAACTCCCATCCCCTTTCCTATATCTGTCCTGTGGTATACCTTTCCCTTACACACATGGCCAAGAGAGTTAGTGTTCCTGTATCCTCACACCAGCATGGTTGGAACGGGCAGAATTCCTTATCCTTTGGCTGAAATAGTCGAATATGTCCTACACTGTCTCCTGGGGTTAACAGTGGCATTGAGCCTTCCCTGCGCACTGTGGTAACTTGCTCAGTAATGGACTGTTTTTCTTTCTTTCTCATCTGTGCCTTGTTTTTCTTTACTTTCATCAGTGTTACTCCAAGAAATCATTTATACCCAAATTCTTACAGCCTGCTTTGTTAGGAACTCAAAGATATTCTCTTTAGATATAACCAATATTATACATTACATATTTTTGCCAACTTCTTTCTTTGTATTCAGCATTCAACAAAACATTGAATCACTGTGTGTGTATATCTACACATACATAATAAGTGCATATCTATATGAAAAAGTATATATGGTACACCCATGAACATATATATTATGTGCAAATATTGGATTATTCTATACACCTTGGTTTGCGAGCATAATTCATTCTGGCAATGTGCTTATAATCCAAAGCACTTGTATATCAAAGTGAATTTCCACACTGGAAATAATGGAAACTCAGCTGATTCATTCCACAACTCAAAAATATTCATATAAAATGATTGTAATACTGTAATGTAATACAAAATGATAACATACAAAATATAGAGAAAAAAATAAACCTGCACTTATCTTTGAAGACCTTCCTGGCTGGTGAGGGTGAGGAGAGGAGCATTACTGTGTAGGGCGCTTTCACTAGCACTGACAGAACCACTGCTCTCTCTTGGCTCAATGAAATCTTTCTTTTCATGAACTTTAACAAGGAACCTATCCAGTGACACTTTTGCCTCCTTTTGAGGATTTTGCAGAAATGTGACATACAGTCATTAAACAGATCATTCACTCATGCTGCTACAGCCTTACTCAGGTGGCACTTTATTTTTTGTTTTGAGACAGCTGCAGTAGTATGGAACTGTTGAATCTTCTAAGCCGTCATGTGGTTTCTTGAGACAGGGTCTTTACATAGTTCAGGCTGGCCTTGAACTCATTATGTAGCCCAGCCTGGCTTTAAATTTGAATGATCCTCCTGCCTTATCCTCCCAAGTGCTGAGATTACAGGCATGCACTGCTACACCTGGCTTTGGGAGGTGCTTTTCTATAAAATTTGCACATTTCCCACATTTTCCACATCTCCCTAATCTCACTTGAAGTGAGGGATTCCTCTGCCTTTTTCACTTCCTCTGCAGATGAGATCTCCTCTACAACCTCATGTTGGGAGATGATCACCCATAATCCTGCAGCAAGAGAGAAGAACTCTTGGCTCAGTTGTGATCATGTGATGTTTGGCATCACATATTTCTTGTATTGCAAGACATCAGTCATTTATTAAGATTTACTAGAAACGTTTGCTTGTCTTGTGGATCACAGAACAAATTATTCACAATCCAAGGTTTTACTGTACTTTTTTTTTTTTCTTTCCAGTATTGGGAATTGAATGCAGGCCCTTGGACATGTTCGGTAAGTACCACTGAGCTACACCTCCATCTCTGATGTGTTTTTAACTTGGCAATATATTCAAATTATTTTTTTCATGTTGACACATAAAGATCTAATTCCTTTTAAAGACTAAACTTTTATTGTATGGTGATGTTCTTTTTAAAGACTGCCTCATTAAGTTTATTTTATTTTTTGAGACAGGGTCTTGCTATGCAGTTCAGGCTGGCCTTGAACTCACTGCGTAGCCCAGGCTAGCTTAGAACTCAAGGTGATCCTCCTGCCTCAGCCACCAGAGTGCTAGGATTACAGGCATGCACCACCATGCCTGGCTGGTCTCAGTAAATTTAACAATAACAATAATTAGCTTTTAGACTAATATTTTAAAAAGGATTAGCCTCAACATAGGAAACGAAAAGTGGAGTCACAAACCGGTGTTACAATGACAGTAGGTCTTGTAGTTGCCTGTATGTTTTATCCTTTTGAGATCTTTATTTTTTCATATGGCTGCAAATGATCAATATCTTTGGGTTTTACCTTGTAGACCCTTCACTTCTTTGCAAGGTAAATGTCCTGTTGATGTACTTTAGCTTTTATTTTGGGAATGTTTTACTTTCTCACTTTTGAGGAACAGTTTTGCTAGAATAAGCTGCTTGGTTGGCAGTTTTCTTTGTTTTTCTTTCAGCACACTGAATATGTTGGGCCAATGTCTTTTGGCATCAAAAGTTTCTGATGAGAAATCTTCAGATAATCTTACTAAGGATCTTTGTATGTTTTAAATTATTGCTTTTTTGCTGCCTTCAAGAGTCTTTGTTTTGGGCTTTTGAAAGTCTAAATATAAGTCTATATGAGTCCCTTTAAGTTAATATTTCTGGAGTTTATTGAGCTTCTTGTATGTTTATATTTATGTCTTTCATCTAATTTTAGAATTTCCTAATGATTATTTCTTCACATATTCCGCCTGCCTCTTTTTCTCTTTTCCTAATGGGACCGCCACATGTGAATGCTGATCTCCTAGATGCTGTTACAAAAGTTCCCTAGGCTCTGTTTAATTTTTTTTACTCTTTTTTTTTTCTGTCCCTCAGACCCAGTGATTTCCATTGTTCTGTTTTCAAATTTATTAAGTTTCTCCTCTTTCTGTTCAAATCTGCCTTTGAATTTGTCTCGTGAATTTTTTCTTTTAGTTATTATACTTTCCAGGTTCAGAATTTCCTTTTGGTTCCTTTTTAGGTTTCCTATTTAAAACCCGTTTAGATTTCCATTTTGTTTGTATTAGTCACCTTTTCTGTTGGTGAACATAATACCTGACACCCTCAACTTAAAGGAGGAAAGGGTTAATTTAGCTCATGGTTTCTGGAGTTTTAATGAATGCTTGGCAGGCACCAAGGCAGAAACCTCTCGGAAAAGGGGCACGGTGTAGCAAAGCTGCTTAGTTAAAGGTGGCCAGAAACCAGAGCAGTGCCAGAGAGGAATAGGCTGGGAGCTGTGCACAGTCCCCAAGGCCATGCATGCCTCTGTGGTCCACCCAGACTTGCTCGGGAACTCAGTGTCTAATCTGCTGGGCATTTCCTAATCCAATGAAGTTGACCTACCAGGATTAACAGTCATATTGTTCAAATACTATTTTCCATTCAAATTTCATTTTCTTTTGCTGTCCGACTCTCTGTATGATAGTTGTTTTAAAGTCTAGTAGTCTAATTGTCTAGTAGTTCTAGTTCTGTCATTAAGTTTTTTTTTAGGGATAGTTTCTTTTGATACATTTTTTTCCATTCAAGGGGTCATACTTTCCTGTTTCTTTATATGCTTTGTGACTTTTTTTTTTTTGGTTGAAAATTTGACATTCAAACTTAAGAATATGTTAACTCCGCAAATCAGATTCTCTCCTTTCCCAGGATTGTCTTTCTTGTGTTACTGAAGTCAAGTTCAAGTATCAGCTTGAGGCTGCTGTGACCTTTTCTAAGACTGAGCCTTTTCCTGGGCATTTGCCCTGTATATATTTTTAATATACAGTTTTAGAAAAATTTTTAGTCTTTAACATCTGACTCCCAAAAAAGGAAGAAGGAGAAAATTGAGAGGAGGTTAAGGGATATTGGTTGTTTTAAGTCCCCTGGAACTCACTTCAGCTGGAGGGAGAGAAGAGGCGGAGGTGCCATCCACAGTAGCTGCCTGTCTCTGCACCTCTGGGCAGAAGAAGCCATCAGCAGTCAGATCACACATCCCAAGTGTTTGCAGGACGAGGCCTTTTTTGCCTACTCCAGCTTCCCCAAGGTCTCCTCTGGGAATGTGTATGTACGGTGGTCTGCCAGGGGCCTGGGGTGGGACATGGGTAGCTGCCACTGCGCTAAGAGCTGAAAATGAACAAAATTAGCCTTGCTTTACCTTCCAAACCTTCCCTGGAAATTGCAAGCCTTCTATAGACTCCAGAATCCCAAAATAGTTGCATGAGACAGATTCTGCCAGTGCAGTTCTTAACTAGGTGAAGAAGATACAGACTCTTGGTGTTTCCTACTCTGCCATCTTCCCAGAATTCTCCCTCTCATTAAATCCTAAATCATATCTTATGAATAAACATAAGCACACTTTGGCCATTCATGAAAGCATGAAGCACATGGCTGGTGGTGTTCATTATTTTTTGCAAATAGGGGAGCAGAAACTGAATTGATCTGTATTTACTGTTCAAGACCAAAGTGGCAGCAAAGAAAATTTCACTAGCAGAGTAAACCTAACATGACAGCATACGTAAAAGTAAACTTGCCAACATTTTATGTTTTGTTTTTTTAAACGCAAGAATCCCTCATTCCAACTTGCTACATGTTAGGAAACAAGACGTACTACTGCTTTTCAGGATATATTTGTTATGAGATCGGGAAAGCACAGAAGCAAGTTCTCCCAGTAATAGGATATATTTTTATCCAGACCACAACTCAAGTGTGACAGCAGATCCTGCTAGTGTATCCGGCTGTGAGGCTTGTCACTTCCCAAGGCGGCCTCTGAGCAGTTTGACTGAATTGGCTCCAGCCTGAGAAGTGAAGTTAACAGGGGCCAGGTGCCTGGAGCCTCCTGCCTGTTCTGCACTGTCTTGGTATTAGTAAGTCCAAGAGATGTAAACTAGGCGAGGTGGCCCCATCAGTACTGAGGACAAGAATAAAACTAGTGTGTCAGCGATCAAAGATGGTGAGATAAAAATGTGGGCCGAAGGGTTCACTCCTCCTCCCTTTAAAATAAATGATACCGTAATGTTGGGTGGGCAAACGGGCATTCTGCTAAATTATAGAATACCTAAGGAACCTGATCTTTCTTCTAGCTTGCTCACTTATTCCCTGGAGGAGTTTTACCTGCCGGTAGTGAGGATTCCAGGGAAGTTACAAGATGCAGTGCCCCTGCATTGAACACCGGAGGGGCTGGATTCTAGGCGATCTCTTCACCCTCTTGCCCTTCTGTGATGCTTGGATCAGGGAGTGGAGCTTGCCCTGCTACCCCAGTGTCTGGTGTCTGCCTGCCTGCAGTAACAATGGTCATTTATCAGACTGACTGTGTCTTGGGAGTGAGCCATTGTGCAGGGAGCCCGGATGTATCAATGAGCCATGGGGCATGTGTTGTTCTTGGGGTTCTCAGGAGCTAGGGATCTAACCAGTCATGACACAGGGACTCAGTATGAGGTTCCTAGCACCTTTCAGTGCTCAAGCACTGCTGGGAATGGGGAGTGGGGTGATGGTGGGGAAGCCAGGGCCTCTGGAGAGGATGTGGGGTGCTTGACAGTTTTAAAGTGGTTGCTAGTTCCTGCAAATAGCTGGACTATAGAGGCCAAGACCTTCACAGGGTCAGCATTTTAACAACCAAAATACAGATTCTGGCAAATACTTGTCATCTCTCCATGAAAGCACAGGAAATCTGGGATAACAAACTAAAATGTGCGGGTGAGATTTACACCAAATGTAGGTGACACACACCTTTACACACACTCAGCGACAGCAAGAACCTAGCCAGTGTGCAGGGAGCATCTTTGCTGGAGGAAGCTGTATGAAGCGATACGGTTCTCAGAGGTCCGAGACTAGGAGAACCTCAAAATACCCTCCAGGAACTCAGTCTTAGCCGGTGGAGAAGAGTGATGGGAACTGGGGGACAGAGGGCGAGTTTCTGGTAGGGGGAGCAGGGGCTGGAGCAGACTGCAACCCCAGAGCTCCCAGGACAAGGCCTGTCAGTGAGGAGACACTGCTGGGGTTAGGAGCCCGACGGGCAGGGCAGATACAGAGGCTCATTGTGAGGAGGGCAGAGCTAGGAGAGCTGGGAAAGTAGGTGCTGTATTTCTGAGCACTTCATGCTATCAACAGGAGTGAGCTCTAGAGCCCTAGCTGATCTACGCCCTCTGTTCACCCTCCCTTCCAGAGCTTCAGAATGGTTAATTTTACATAAAAATGAACAGCAGGAAAAGAATCTAAATGTAATGCTATGTAAATGTGAAAAGGAAAACAAGGAGCAGAATAACCTGCCAGTAACAAAAGCACACCAAAGACATGCTTTTAGAACAGATGGTGATTATGCTTTAGTGCAAGACTAGCGCTCAATAGGGAATTAGAACATTCAGTAGGGAATTAGAAAAAACATGAAATTAAGTGAAAGAACTCAATAAAGGATGAGAAAAATCACTCTAAATAAAGACTAGAAAGCTGGGGATTTAGCTCAGTGGTGCTGCCACTACCTGCTTTGCAAGCTCAAGGTCTTTAGTTTGATCCCTGGTACAAAAAAAAAAAAAAAGGACTAGGACTACAAGAGTGAAACACAATAGACAGTGTCTTAAGCTAAACAGAAGATGCATAAGGAAAATTAAAAGAATTAAACAGGAATTAATAGAACGACAAATATAAAAGACAGGACAAAATTTAAATATATAATAGCTTTCTCAGGGAAGAAACTAAAGAACAAAGGTGCGGAAAAAATAGGAAAAAACTACAGTAATCTAAGAAAACATTCCTGAGATTAAAGAATGAAAGTTTGAACATATATGTTGAGAACCAGGACCTGGG